TGAAATATGATTAGCAGGACCCTAAATTCCTCTGTACATGATTGACTTAAAACACTAAAATAGATTAAACAGCTTGCCCTGATCTAGGAGGGAAACAGAAACTGTCTTGCAAATATTTGGATTCAGTTCATTATATATAAGACTGAGGTCTTTTTGGGGTTTTGAATGAGAAACATAGCAAAGAGAAGTATAAAATAGAAGGGGAACACAGATGGATAGACACATGGGAATGGAGGTAGAGGAAGCGGAGTAAGGGAAGGAGTAGAATTGAGAGGAAGGAGAAAATAAAAGAGATTGTGTCCAATTATTCAACTAACATTTCAGGAAAATTAATATCTTAAAGAATCTACTTTTGATACAGTGAACTATGACTGAAAAGCTTAGAGTGTTACATTACTAAAGCAGGATAATTGTACAATTAGTAAATATAAATGTATATGTACTCACTCAGATGTGTAACAACACTAAACGTAACCCTATACACAAAATACCAACAGAAGGAAGGCGAGGAGGATGAGGATGAGCAGGAGGAGAAAGGGCGGGGGAATGTAGAAGCTGGAAATTCCCCTGAACAGAAGGTCCTGCTTTGTTGTTTAGGGTAAATATCCATAAGCAAATTTCAGTGCCGCTGTCTGCGGATCACCCCACTGTAACTTTGTGCATCTCCTCTGCACGGACAGTGAGCTCCAACCTTACTTCACTATGGTGTGTGGCACTTTGGGCCCAGCTCAGGTGGGATCTCTTGGTTCCCGAGCAATTTTCACAGCATCACTTGCAGCCTGAGATCTTAGCAGCATTGGGGGACGTGGGGAGGACAGCCTTGCATCAGCCTGGTCTTTTCTCTAAATGTTACACTGACCTTTATCTACCAGGCAGTATAGTGATTTATGTGTTTTTGTGACACTTCTTGGAGAAATGTTTCTAGCAACTTCTTGCTAGTGACAATTATTTCTGTTAGATTGTGGAAAGAAATTTCAACAAATTGGCTTTTATTATTTTAACAGTGCAGAAAAAATAGTTATTACTTTTAAGATGAGACAGTTTACATCCTAACAATGAGCATGTGTGAAATTCCTTAAAATTAATAGAAGCTTCTCAAGGAAGGGGTCTTTGAGAACCCTCTCAGAGCAACAGGAATGGGTATGATGTCAGGAGGTGTCAGCATAGGCCATTCGCTTCTTCAGAATCTTTAGGAAAGTGTCCACCTTATGTGTATCCCTGTGGAGGCATCTGCACAGGTTGTAAAAGGTATCCATGAATACGACTCCATCAGTTGACTGCAAAGATGGGAGTTCATTCCAGAGGACAGGTTCCCCATAGTTCCAGATTTGAGGGTCAATCTGGTCAGAAAAGAGACAAACAGCATATTATTCGTAGAAATGCTGCATTTTATCTTTGAATTCTATTAGCTTTCACTCAAGATTTAAAAAGAGAGAAAAAAAAAAGATTTAAAAAGAGAGGAAAATGAAAAATTTTGCTAAAGGTGTGGGTTTTCATGTATCTCACAAGGGTTCATAAAACTATTAGTCATCAAAAAGTTAGAAGTAAAACCCATGTGCTATTTTCTTGCCATGCATGTAATCACAGGTGAAGTGTGCTCCTGCAGGAGTAGACAGCTAGACATCCAGAAAGTTGCTAGAGGATTGGACCAGGAACAGTCAATAGTTTGCAGTC